TGGTTGATTCCCAATAAGGATCCCAAGCCACCACCGCTGGCAAGGAGGGCACATCCCGGAGTTTTAGTGGGTAGGGTCCCCCCATCTCGAGTAACAACTGAGCCAGCCCTATGGGTTGGCTGAGTGGGAGGTGGGGGGAGGAGTCCCTCATAATCCCGACGGCTACCCAGCGGCCCCCGTACCCCTCTGGGGGACCGCCTCCGTGAAGCCTTAGAGACCTTCCCGGCCAGAAGCAGCCCCTACGGGTGTTTTTTAGTCAGTACGAGTCTGACATAACCTTGCAGCCGGCTGTAGGGTATCCATGAAGATTTCGCACCCGCTCACCCGCCTGGGAGTAAACAAAAAAAAACCAGCGGCGGGGTATGCGTAACGCATTTGTCCGGGTTAAAAAAAGTCTATTTGCTCATATTCGTAATATACGTAAAGCTCCTAACAAATTTGTATTTAAGGGATTGGTTCGTGAGCATTATCTTAATATAATTAATCTGCGTTCTCAGATTTGACTGGCATAATTATGTGTATGTTTATGTATGTATTGTAGATATAGCATATATATTTACATGTATGTATTGTATATATATTTTAATATTTGTGTATTCTATTGATATATATATATTACCTACCTGGTTTATTTAGCATATGTCCATATTGCACCCCCGTATTTTTATTTCTCACGCTTTTACTGGTCGACTGGTAGAGAATGCCTTATGGCATTATTTCCGCCAATTGCTGTTTGTTTTGCAATAAAGTATACATAAATAAATATTCTGGTAACCCTATTATCGCACGTGGCACGTGCAGGGCAGGGTTGGAGGAGCGCCAGTCGCGGACAGGTGTCCCATGTCCCTCGCATCGTGCGTCGAGAAACGTCGATACTCGAAGGTGACCGATATTGGGTCTGTGAATTGTATTGGCCCACACGTTGTGCATTTTGACAAACTTGTATTAAGATTCTACAGTCAATAACATAATCATTTATTCAGTTTAGGCTGTTACAAGCACTCATGAATGTATAGAAGCTACGCCATCGGTTCGTAAATCTACGGCGGGAGACCTTGTACTGAGAAGAACCGGCAAGAAAATCAGCAAGGGCTGTTTTTTTCTCCCTCTTTTATTACATATTTACAGTCGTAATAATAGTCTAGAACAACACAAGATAGTGTACAAAAATGCAGGATAGTCTTTTCAACTATACTTATAGCTTTTACATAGTTTGTTAATAATAATAAAAAGTTTAGGGTAGTAGTCATGTATTCCAGAGCCAGTAGTAGGTACTAGCTATTTTTTTATAATTATTTATTGCTAATATTACTTTGGGGGCGTCCATAAATTACGTGAGGTGTTACGTACGTCCATAAATTACCCCCCCCCCCCCTGGTGAGATGTCGTGAGATTTTATTCAACCCCCTCCCCCATCCCCCAATCTCACGTGAGATTTTTCAAAATGTGGGTTTCTTTAGTAAACGCGTTGGATTGTTATTGTAAAAAGAAAAAAAAATGCTTCGTGCTTTTATTTACGACTAGTTAAGCCTAGTAATCAATATTGCTGAGAGTTATAAGTGTAATAAAAATTTAACAATAGAATACTTAATAGATACTACTGTGAAAAAAAATTGCGTAATATTTGCCGAGACCCCCCCTCTCTCCAACGTAAGATTAGATGACATTTGACTCGACCCCCTCCTCCCCTTAAACATCTCACGTAATTTATGGACGCCCCCTTTGTAATCAACTTCGTAAAATAGGCGCATTTGAAACTAGTCATTCTTAAACTTCTTAATGGAGGATTTTCCGCCTAAATTAGAGCGTCTGTCACAGTAAATGAATGGTATATAAGAATAGCAGTGAATCTAAGATAAGAGATAAATATTGAGGATAAAACCCTCAAAAAAATTAAAAAATAAAAGATCTTTTGGTGGACCTGTGTTTCTATTAGTAACATTTCAAGGCTCCACGGATAAGCGAATAGGTTTCAGACCGGCAAGGTGAGGATGGCTGAAGCGGCACATTTTTCTGCCATATCAGCTGTCCTTACAACTAGATTCCACTTACACTCAACATAAAATATGGGGTGGCGTAATTTGCCGTGTCCGCATCTGTTGAAAAGCTTTTATATACGAGGCGCAACAAATTATTTATTTGTACTGAAAAGTGACTTCATGAATCATCTTTGAAGTCATTTTTCAATTTGACGACTCTGTAAATATTTATTATTAGAAGAAGAAAAAAACAGCCCTGGCTGAATTTCTTGCCGGTTCTTCTCAGTTTAAGGTCTCCCGCCGTATATTTACTAACGATGGCGATGGCGTAGCTTCTAGATATTCATGAGTGCTTGTAACAGCCCAAACTGAATACAGTAGACCCGCGGTAATCCGATAAACGTTTTGCAGGGCGATGTCGGATTATCGTATTTGCTGGATTACAGAGTACTGTCTAAGACCACCCTCTATAGTCCGGATTTTTTGGAATAAGAGTACCTTGTGATCCGACAAATTACAATTCTATTCAATTCATTTTATGAGCAATACAACAGTGTTAAACATTACAGGGGGCGCCGGATTAGACGGGGTCCGGATTACCGCGGGTCTACTGTAGATGATTTTGATTATGATTATAAAGCCACCTGATGTTAAGTGTAAGTGGAGTGCAGTTGCGAAGATAGATGATGCGGCAGATAGTGTTCCGCTCCAGCTATCTTCACCTTGCCGGCTTAAACCCAATCCCTATCTACCTACCGGTAGAGACTTACAATTGTACGTATATCCCCTTATTAATGAACAAAGTTTAAGCTTGAATTACTTACACTATGTTTTGTCTGTGTTCATTGAATGACAAAAGGCATTTGAGTGATAAGAACAAAAGACGGCGTAACTAGTCTTAGCTTATTCCTCGTTAATTAATAAGGGGGATTGAGTACAACCAGACAATAATGGATGAGATGGCAATTGTTCCGAACTGCAATTATACCCAATGTAAGATCATTCATTATTATTCGTACTCTTTCTTGTCGCCGTGCCAAACTTACGGAAAATAGGAAAATCTGCGTTAAAATGTTGTCGCTTTCAAAACATATTATGTATTATCCTTGAGAACTTTATGTGACACAGAGGAGAAGATTTTTGTTTATTTACGTCGTATATTAGGTGGTGTTTCATTATGTCTTCGAATTACATACAGTGATTTATTGATTACGTCGCTTGGACAATTTCGACAGTAACAGTGACCACGAAATAAGACAAAATTTATTTGTTTTTCTTATTTTCTTTTCTTTACTGCTTCTCCTTAGTATTAAAATTTTAATAAAGTAGATCATTTTAAGAACGATTATTAGTGTAAATAAAGACGGATAGCCTAGCCTACTATTTTTTCGAGGTCTTCTACAACATTTAGCGCTGTACATAATACCACGATCATTGTACCTTCAGAAACCGCATTAAAATAGTATTCTTTATTTGTTAATGCGCATAACTGTATCCACTTTATCTATTCTTGCGGCTAACAACCCGCTTTTGTGGTACTACACAAAGGGCAGTCATTTCTTTGACCCTCTTTGATCTAAGCATGGGACTTTTTTACGCTTTGTCCTGCTACAAATAGATAACAATCGGTTGACCGCACTACTTGTAATGTAGGCACATTGTTCTCAAGCAAATAATATCTAGAAAATTCTCTTCTGAGAATTGGGTATTATCTGTAAACATGAGTCAGGCAAATATCGGGGACTCCGATGGGAATTGACCGCACACGAAGTAGCTTTACTTTTGGAATAGCTCCAACGCTGAAAAGCTTTCTCGACTACATTATCTATTTATAAATTTGCAGTTGCTATGGAACAAGCAAGGTTACCATACTGCTCATTGGCTTATATTTATAACAATTATGCTTTTAGTTGTGAAGAAATCTCATTGAGTTTTGTTTAACGTTTCATATCAGAGTCCAAGCCAGCACTGTCAACAATGCCGTGTATAAAATCATTAAGTATAAATATGAGTGTTTATGTAACACAGTGGGTCGCACATACATGCGATACAATGAATAAACATGCCGGCTTGTTAGTAAATATTGCGAACCTGTGTTTCCTCGGGAACTATGCGTAGGCTAACCACGGTTGCACACATTTGGCACCAATGTTGGCTTCAAACCTCGACTACTCATCCAACGCGGAATCGAGGAATTAAGTTTGGTCCCAACGTTGGCAGCATTGGGGATATAGATTTTTCCCTAGTATTTCAGCTCACATTGTTATCAACTTCCAATAATATTGGTCAAGCTTAGTGGGACGATCGAAGTGCACTGACCCAACATGATATAACGTATTATAAGAATATATTACGACGTATAGTATAAGATATACTTATAACGTAAGTACCGATCATTCCACAATAATTTCGTATGTCCGGACAGCACTGTTGACTTCATCTTGACCTTGGAGCTTGGGGGTGAAGACAAGCCAATGACTTTTCACCTGTTTTTCACGTGCTGAGATATTTGTGTTTGTTTACAAGAAAGTACAGTGGAAAATTCGTCGGTGGATATAGCTACTGCAACTCATATGTCCATAAAGTATTAGTTGTTGTGACCGAACTGCGTCGTTGTCTGCATAAAGTGGCATTTATTCATGTCAACCTTAATTCTGTTTACGAAATCGGCTGGGGGAAATGGTATGAGCGTTCATCTTAATAAATGTTATGGGTATTTTGATAAGTTTATCGACTGATATATTTTCTTTAGACGAGTATGTCCTTGACTGTGATCATTACATTTTTATAATCTAATCTCTGGACATGAATATGTAATACGTAAGGGTGCGACCAGAGTGCACTCAGATTCAGATTCTGAAAACAAGCGCGAGAAATAAACAGTGTAGTCTAAGCAGGTTGCCTGCTTTTTCTCGCGCTTTGTTTTCCGAGTCTGAATCTGAATCAGGAGTGCACTCTGGCCGTACCCTTCGACTACACTGTTTATTTCTCGCGCTTGTTTTCGGAATCTGAATCTGAATCTGAGTGCACTCTGGCCGCACCCTAAGGTCGAAAGCCTACATGACTCAAAAAGATGAATGAATTTCATCAAGATGATTTATTGTTGCGGAGTGGTCATAGAGAAGAACTTTCCGATTTTATGGTCAGAGATTTTGAACTTCATTATAGAAACATGTACAGAATCCGTTATGGTATATAAATAAATGAAAAAAAGGTTAAAGGGTATAATAATCTTCATAATTTATTTTTCTCTTCATTCAATTCATTATACAATATGTATTCAGTATAAAACAATATTCTTTGTTAAATTCATAGAAATATATTATTTTTAGTATAACTGTTCTTTATCTTTATAAACTTACAAATTATTGTTAACATTCTGACGAATCTTTTGTATAAAAAAATAATACAAACAGGATAGCCGGCCGCGCTCGCGGCTAGCTCCCCAAATATAACAATCAACTTGTTAATTGGTATAACTTACAAGCTATAGAAGACAATGGTACAGAACATTACTGTAGCACGTTCATGGTAACAAAAACAATTTAAACATTATTATTACAGGCTTCAGTTTACAAAGCGTAGGCACTCGAGATTGCTACTTCATCCTAAATGTAATCATAATCACTCTCTCACCAATAAATACTTACGTCTCGCATACATCCGTCCCCAATCAACATCACACGATCGCTCGCTTGCGAAATGCTCTCTATTCGTTCACAAATAATATTTATCGGACGGCCTCGCGTTACAAAAGTCGCGTCCTCTATAATTAAGAGCACCGGGTCAGTTCTGAGAAAACATTTTATACATTGGGGGAAAATACTTTGCGCAATACACGCTTTCTCTTTCACACAAGGCACACCGATCAAACGATCTCAGATTCTATTAGTCTCTCACGCAAGCACGTAACATTCGTCTCAAACGATAAGCATAGCGAGCAGACACAAACTTTTTGCATGGCGCTGTAACGCCATAATTTCTAAGAAACAAAAAGTTAACCTTGTGCAATCAAATCATGAGTCGGAACGTCCGACTGTTAAACACATGGCCACCATTCCGCGAGGGCGGCGCAGGCGGAATTTTAATTAGCAGAACATCCGCTCGTGACTTGGGTTTATGCGCTGTTGTCAGTTTTACAATGTAGATGTCTCTTTCACACTGAGTTTAGTCCTGTCATAACCTGTATGTACAGAGCATCCTTTCTTCTTTGTTCGACGACTTAATATCATCGTCATTGACTTGAATGCCACTCATTAACATAAAACACTTAAGGAAAATGCAAAACGTATGCGATAAAATAAATGGTACGAACAATGGAAATCCCCAGTTCAGTAATATAAGAACGGCAACATCGCTGAAACGGGAAATTCGCTGTAAAACTGGCAACGTTGCTTCAACCTCGTTCGGTCAGTCTAAACACGAGTGACGTAGCAAGATTATCCTTTCGATAGTTTCTAGATTACACTAAAATAAGACAACAGAATACTGATACATAGAAATAGAAAACAAACAGTACTGCAACTTGCAATGGAAGCTTACGTATTTGTGACTCGTGCTAAGTACATTCCTCACTTCCGACAAACATACAGGAGTTTTCTCTCACCGTTCCGAGCGGACGTTCTGTCATAATAATAACACATCACTGGCATCCTAATCTCTCAAAACTTAACGATATATCCACAGCATTCTCAATGTAGCGACTTCTTCAACACCTTACACTAATTGTTCATTAAACTATATATTACACAATAAAATTAAGATCACAAATCGCTTTGTATGCTGCGTCCTGGCGGGCGCGACTAGTTTGGAATGTGTAGGAGCGGGTCGGGCGGCGCGATCAGAAGTGCGTCTCGATGTGGCAGCCGCCGTTGGCGTGCTCCAGCACCTGCTGCTTGAGCTGGTGCACGTGGTCCTTCAGCTTCACGATCATCTGCGCCAGCTCCGCGTTCTCGCCCTTCAGCACCTTCACTTTATCTTCCAATTTGGAAATGCGCTCGAGCTTCCGCCGTCTGCATTTGGAGGCCGCGACTCGGTTTCTTTGCCGTTTGCGCTCTAGTTTGATTCTTTCTTGCGTGTCCATGTCGATGGGAGAGAGCGGCGGCGAGCTGGAAGCGCTCGGCACGGTCTGCGGCTCGTCCTTCACTACGGGCGTGGGGTAGCGCTCCAGCGGGCGGTCGAGGTCGGCGTACACGCGCCTGCCGATGGGCCCGGGGCCCGGCTCGCCGTGGTGTAACTTGTCCAGCGCCTCCACGAACGGCCGTGCGTACAACTCCTGCTCCTCCGTAGGCGCCGGCGGGAATAGAGCAGCTCCGCCAGGAGTAGGCGTCGCTGACGTTATCATGCCGTTCTGGATTATCAGCTTCTCCAACTCTGGCGACCCCAGTTTCAACATGTGAAGGTCCGGCGACGACAACAGAGGAGCGGTCACTCGCGCTCGCTTCCCTCCTCGCCCTATATCCAAATCCAGTGTCAGGGATCTTTTCAGATTTTCCACAGGTCCACTCAAGGGATACTGCTCCTCATACAGGGTAGGCTCCATGCCGTGGCCGGAGTGCCGAACCATGTGTTTCCACTGAATGCTTCGGTAACACTGAACTCACTGCGCAAACTTCAAAACTTTTTTTTTATTCGAGAACACACGTCCTCTGCGCTCGACGGTTCACTTGTTTCTAAACATTGTACAGAAACAACCACGGCTTTTATTCCATGACTCAGATAAGCTATTTTTAGATATAACGCGATCAACGCGCGTGCTGATTGGCCACGTATGACGTGATATACAAGCAAACGCTGACGTGATTGGTGGATGGTAACGTAGTATAGTGCGAGGCCGCTGCGGGCTGTTTACGACTTCGTGCGATTACCGAGAATCGGTTGGATGCTTTCCATTGTACGCAAAGACGGACAATTTTATTTTTATTTAATAATTTCTCATCATTACCATCATTGGGCGACATTAATTATGAAGTAAAGATTTAATCCAGCATTAAGTAAATATTTAATGCGTACTTATTTTTAATCCTATAAATAAATTCAAATATGCAGTAAATATTTTAAGTACAGTGAGCTTCTCAATTTTGAGAAAATTTTGAGACGATAAGAATGCTAGTGTAATGGAGGTAATTGTATTTGGCTTATTTCAATTGTTTTGGTTTGGTGGTAAAAATAAAATAACAAATGTAATAAACTATGTATTTCCATAGTTTAGTACACTTTACTCATATTATAAATGCGAAAGCGTGTCTTTCTGTTTGTCTGTCTGTAACTTTCTGAGACTTAAACTACTGAATAGATTTAGATAAAATTTGATAAAGAGATGATTTGAGGCCCGGGGAAGGAAATAGGATAGGTTTTATCCCACAATTCATCCTTTAAGAGGGTAAAATTTTGTATAGGAGAGCAATTTTTCTACGCAGACGAAATCGCGGGCACCCACTAGTTCCAAATAGGTATATTATTATTCAATAGTTCCATACATGTTACCTCTCCATGCTTAAACCACTGAACCGATTTAGATGTCATTTTATATAGAGATAGTTTTGAGTCCCTTTCTCGGAGAAAGGACATAGAGTTATTCCTTATTATTATCAGAAATCATATTTTAAATGGGTGAAAAAATGGGGGACTTTGTATGAGAAATCACGAAGACGAAATTAAGGCATCACTAATGAAAAATGTTGCAAAAACAGGAAAAATATTCCTTTTGAAAGCTTCATTTGCGTACCCTACGTAAACGGTTAAAATAACTCAAAAAATATTTTACCTTGTTACCCTTCAAAAATTCAATGTTTAAGTTCAAATATAAAAATCACCCAGGTGCGTGTCGCGCCACGCGCAGTGTACGCGTAGGGTTCCGTAGTTGCTCATCGTCACCACAATATATTTTGGAAAGAGTCTATAATTTAAACAATTACTTCGTCTAAGTCACTTTTAATGTTTTCTTTTAGGGATTTTCTATTAGGTCAGAAATTTTCTAACACAAAAGTTGAACGACTATTACACATAAACTAACAAATCTATTTTAACCTATTTTTAATTTTCCTTAAAAGTTTTTGAGAAGCACTATCATGATTTTTTCCACGTTTTTTAAGTCAATAGATTAGCTGTTCGCAAACGGAACCCTAAATCGAAAAATGGTCATAGAAACCCCTAAGTAATTTTAAAGGACCTATTCAACGATACCCCACAGATTTATATATATATATATATATCTCCACAAAATTACTCTAGTGCTAACAGTCCCCAAGCAAAACCAGGGACGGACAGAATGGACATGACGAACCTATAAAGGTTCCTTGTCAGGACTACGGAACCATAAAAAATGTTCATCTGCATTATAATAATAATAATAAAGGACATCGACGAAATCGGCCCTAGCATGCCCAAAAGAATGTCCTTCACTATTATTTTTCTATTATTTTTTTAACTTATTAGCAATTAATCATAGTAAACGGACAATCTGTTTAAAAAAATTAAAAATAAAAGTTCTGTTACTAGATACTACAGTCTGTTCATCCAACTTGGCATTGAAAATACAGCATTAAAAATCAACTGATAACTGGATTCAATAGGTTTCAGTCTTTAATAACGATTTATTTTAATAGTTTATTGGCTTCGTTAATATTCTATTATTAAATGGGTGATTCTGTTAAAAAGTTGTGCCAAGATTGTTTACCTTAGTAATGCAATATAGGCGACCATTGGTATTTATCTACATAACAATAGAACTAGGTACCTTAGTTAATAATACTTATTACTAGTATTTATATTATATTTATAAAAAGATTATTTCTGAAATTATCTAAAGATAGTTTATACTCCCATCCCATGTAATATCTGTTTATTTTTATGAAAATCATAATGATAACCAGGTACATACCTAATTACCGATAGTAAAATATAGAAACAGGTAAATGGAAAGATTGAACATTTCATTTGAAAAGAAATCTATCATTACCTACTACAGGTAGGTATAGGTATCATAGGTGCCAACTGACAACACTCATAAATCAATATGAATATAAGCATTTTTTTTTTATTAATTGCATTTCATGTTCATTTAATGCATATTATTTAAACACTAAATCTATTCAGAATATATAAAGTGTACATCTTTTACGATTAAGTATAATAATAATAACCTCAAAATCTAATATATTCTGTAGTAGGCCACGGTTCCTCAAGTTGTCCGTATCTCAACAAATGCTTATTTAGAGTTTTTGAATGATTCCGAACACAACTAGCATTTTCTCATTGCTGGGCGTTCTAGGGCATTCAATGTATGGGGAACGAGCAATGTCCTTTGTTTGGAACAAGTGCAATTATGTCAAACTTTTAACAGTAACTCAATAAAACTTTTTTCCAGAAAATTAACGTGGGTGACTAGTTTCATTCAATATTATAGCGTAAAACGTGAGACATTGGAAACAAGCTCATTTAGGTGAGGCACGGAGGCGGGGTAGCCGCGCCGATGCAAGAAAATATATGCGGGAAACGCGCGGGCGAGGGGGGGTAACGATATGCATGCGAGCGGGCGAGACGGAACGATCTACATCTCTCACTCGCACATGCAGATAACGTCCACCAACTAAACAGTAGGAAAATAAAATGCAGCTTAAATTCCTTCATTTATGATAGGAGCCGTATTATTGCTCATAATGTTTGTATTATTGTTTGGTTTGGCTGACCTTGATTTTATACAGAAAGCTTATGGACGAAAAAGTATTTAGGCTTGTCGTAATTAATGATAATTACTCTAATGAGTTATCTATGTACTCTTTCTATAACTGTATAGGTACATAACTAAACTAAACTAGACTCATCAGCTAAAAGATGCCCTGGATAATTGGTAGGAAAAAATAGTGGACGATTCAAAAAAGCTTTCAATAAGTTTTAAATAAAGTATAATTTTATTTCAAATAGTTACATACCTTTTTAATGTTGACAATTTCATCACTTTGTTTATTTTTATATCAGTGCAGATTATATTATTTAATGTAAATACTTATTAACTAGTATAAAGTTAAAAAAAAGTTGTTTTTTTTTGTTTTTTGAACGCGCTCATATCAGGAACTAATTACGTAGTTTTAATTTATTCGAATAAAATGATTTGGATAGTCCATTTATTAAGAAAGGAATAATATAACATCACTCTACGACAGATAGGAGCAGAGCATCAAAGAAAAATGTTGCAAAACGGGAAAACAGTCCTTTTGAGAGCTTTTGTTGCGTGCGCTGCGGAATAATCAAACGGTTAAAGTTACACAAACATCTTGTATGACGGGATTGTTCCCGTTTTTGTGGTAGGAAATCAGTTTTTTCTAATCTATACTTATTTTTTTTTAATTTTATGTTATCCCGGACCAACATAATCTGGACATCTTCAAGGCCAGAATAAACAGGCATCTTCTAGGCAGGCGTGTACCATCCTAGGCCTCATCATCGCTTTCCATCAGGTGAGCATTGCATTTTATGCATAAAAAAATCAAACAGGTTTTAGCGGGTTAGATGCACTGATTTTATTTATTTATTGATGTTTCGCACTCTTTGCACCCTTTTGATCGAATTTTTATTTACTTTGTCGAGCTATCGTCGAAAGACTTTTATTGAGCGTTCGGATATTTCATTACAAGATTTTTAAAACTCTATTGTCAATGCTTGAATCTATTAGCCAATTTAAGTAATAGAGTACTTTATTTAATTATTTTTTATAATTTATTTATTTCACCCTAACTACCGTAAACTACCACCGGTTCTAAAATTGGGAGACCTTTCTGAGAAGAACCAGTGAAACAAACTCAGAGAGACCTAATCTATACTTATTAGTACTTATCTTATTTATAAAATTCTCGTGTCACAATGTTAGTTACCATACTCCTCACAAACGGCTTGACCGTTTTTTATGAAATTTTATATACATATTCAGTAGGTCTGAGAATCGGCTACTATCTATTTTTCTGACCCCTAAGTGATAAGGGTTGTCTATCCCTAAAATTTATTTTTTATTTAATTTTTATAATCTGGCATTCAAAAATACATACAATCCTGAATTTTCGCCCTTCTACCTCCAATCTAGCGAAGGGTACGAAGTTCGCTAGGTCAGCTAGTAATATTATAAAACTAAAGATTTTTTTTTATTTGAATGCGCTAATCAAGAAAACTAATAATATAGTTTGAATTTAAAAATAAAATGTTCACGCATCGACGCATAGCAGCTGAATTTCATTGAAAAATGTCGCAAAGACGAGAAAAAATATTTCTCTTTTGAGAGCTTTCGTTGCGTGCCGCTGCGTAATAAACGGTTAAAGTTAAACAAAAATCATGTATGACGGAATAGTTTCCCACTTTTATGGTAATCAATTTTTTTTCAAAAATATTTCTTTTTGTTTCTTAGGTTTTCACGCACATCGATAACGAACGAATATTATTCTGACGATGCAGACCTGAAACGGCTGCGAACCGTCAATAAATAAATAAAGTTCGTGCATTAATCCGTTAAAATTAGTTTTATTTAAATGTTTCTTTTTTGCGATTTCTATCCAAACACTCAGCAAGTGAATAATTTTGCCCACCATATGATAAAAGTTATTTTTGAAAATTTTAAAGTTACTACCTCTTTTCTTATGAACGCGTAGAGGTATTATATTGAGTTTGTACGGAACCCTTGGTGCG